GCTCAAATTGTTCAGAGGAGGCTGGAGTTGACTAATAAATGTGTGGAGGAGTGGGATTTGGCATCAAAGGTACCATGGAGGACCCCTCACCCCATTAATTTGCCATTTGAGACAAAACAGGCCACCCTCTCTCATCCCCAATCATCTAGCTCTCCCAACACATAATTTTTTAGAGGATAAGCTCTGCAAGATACTCATCCTCCATAGCCAATTCGAACTCAAGCCATAAGAGTCCAAAAAGAAAGCTTGAAGAAGGAAAACGTTAGGAAAAGTGCGGAATATTAAGGTAATAACCTTTTAATAACTTTTCCTCTACTTTTCATTTATCATATGGATTATACATCATATGAGGAACCCCTAGGTTTGTTCTACATATTTAGAAATGTAGAATGAGGGGTTGGAAGGTAGATCTAAGTCCAAGAATGGACTTAGAAACCAAAACGACCGGTTCACCGGAAAATAACTTTTTAGGGGTTATTTATGTTGATATGGGTTTTGTAATGATTAAACCATGTTAGGATATTGACTAAAGTGGTTCTAGAATTCTCCAGAGTTTCGCCGGAGTTCAACTAAGAAAAGTAGAATCTTCCTAAAGCTCATTTGAGGTGAGTGGATGGCTTAATGTCTTGTAACTTTTGGGTTAAGCATGAGATTACCTAAGTATATGTTATGTGTGTTCATAATAATATTTAAATGAATTAAACATGTGATTAGCCAATTAAAGTGATTAGGCTTGTATGAAGTGAACTATTGAAATATGCATGATTTGTGAAGTGAAAATGCTCATAGAAACATATGTGATATGTTTAGAGATGAAATGTGCATAAAATAGTTATTTATAACTTAGTACATATTGTGACTAAGTTTGACACACATTGGATTTGGAATGGCGGGTCAACCGAAAGTTGACCGGTGCCGGTTTGGCCTTACTTTACCTATATGCTAATTTTAATGCATGAGTTGCATGGATGATTTTGTTTAGGCCTTAATACTTGGTCTAGTCTTGTTAATTGATTATGATATAGGCCCTATCTAGTATGATATGTGGTAGATCATAGGTTGGGTGGAGTACCCAAGGATCGGGCGGTATCCTCAAAACTCGGTTATATAGGGTGGAGTACCCAAGGATCGGGCGGTATCCTCAAAACTCGGTTATATAGGGTGGAGTACCCAAGGATCGGGCGGTATCCTCAAAATTCGGTTATATAGGGTGGAGTACCCAAGGATCGGGCGGTATCCTCAAAACTCGGTTATATAGGGTGGAGTACCCAAGGATCGGGCGGTATCCTCAAAACTCGGTTATATAGGGTGGAGTACCCAAGGATCGGTCGGTATCCTCAAAACTCGGTTATATAGGGTGGAGTACCCAAGGATCGGGCGGTATCCTCAAAACTCGGTAATATAGGGTGGAGCACCCAAGGATCGGGCGTGTATCCTCAAAACTCATAGATTACTATTTAGTAATTCAGGACCGGGCGGTGTCATTATGATTATTTGGTTTGGACAGGAGGAGTCCTATACACTCATAGGTCTATGGGTGGGTTGGGGTTTTAAGTCAAGGACATTGACTACTATTATTTTTCCAAATTAAACAATGACCTACGGGTCGGGTATTTCCAAGTGTATATAAGTACTGATGTGTATTTTGTAACTTGGGATAAGGAAGTATAAGTATATGTATCACCCTATGTTTGGGTCTTATACTTGAAACGTTAGTTACTCTACATTTAGCTTGCTACTCGCTCGGTACTTGTACTGACCCCTTCGGGGGGCCCACCATTTCAGGTTGAAGCTAGAGCCTGTTGTCTACACCTTTGCACGGGTGGAAAGAATCTAGAGGAAGACGTGGTTCGTGCTTCCTTTATTATTTTAAATCATAAACTATGCTCATGGATACTTTTGTTATATTACATTGTTTTGGCCTGCGAGCCTACGTTTTGCCATATGTGGCTTATGATTGACTGTTGAATATTTTTCGCTATTCATTCAATCTATGATGTGATGTTGTTATGTATGTTTACTACTGAGTATGGTGTGAACGATGTTCATGAACGCCTTGTGTGATTATGTGAGGTTAACAGGCGAGTGACGTCACTTAATCACACAGCGGTTGTACACGCGCTTAGATGCGGTCTGGGGCGTGACACAATCCGTGATCGGGAACAAGCAATTGAAGGTACGTTTCAAAATAAACTTCTTTAGTTTTAGTACTGATTTTTTCAGATTTTCTATGGAAGAGTTCATTTTAGTTTCAAGTTTATTCACCTTAAATCTGTCTAATGAAAATGATCAGTTTCTGGTTCACTTATAATGCGCCTTGCTAGTCTATCAAAATTAAAAGGCTAAAAGGTCAAATAGGTACATGAACTAACTTAAAGTGTTCAATTAGCCCCTTATATAGGAGGTTCTGCCCGGCCGTCGCCAATTTGGGAAGTTCCCGGTGGATGTTTTTTATGAAAGTTTTTTAGTATCTTCTTCATTAAGTCTAGTTTACTCATACCAAATTGCAGCTAAAATATTAACCGGGAAGGCAGTCATATGATTTTTTGAAGATAACTGCGCAGTTAAAAAGCACAGTACATTTTGGAAAATCATTGACTGCCTTCCCGATTTAATTTTTAGCTGAAATTTGATATGGGTAAACTAGACTTAATGAAGAAGATGCTCAAAAAGTTTCATAAATTTTTTTTACCGGGAACCGCCCTAATTGGCGACGGTCGGGCAGAACCTCCTATAGAAGGAGCTAATTGAACACTTTAAGTTAGTTCATGTACCTATTTGACCCTTTAGCCAAATTAAAATAAGTCATTCTCCCTTTTGCATCTATCAAGTGTTTGATATTATGTCTCAACGAGCTTTTTTACCATGTAACTTTCTATTATATATCAAATTTAAAGTAAGTTAGTTTTCCCTCTGCATCTTTCAAGTGTTTGATATTATTTCTCAATGAGCTAAGTTTACTTGTAATTTTAAGATTTTAGAGTGTATGCATTTGTTTAGGTAAAAAAAAGTAAAGTTCACCTAAGTTGATAAGTATTATACTTTGTTGAACTGACATTTTTTTGTTATGATTAGTGTTGTCTAATTTACATTAACATTGAAACACAAGTTTTTTTTCATTTTTGGAGGCCAGAAGAGCTTTAGTAAAACACTAAAAGGTATGTCCTTTGATTCAAAAGTTAAAATAATTTGTGTTTAATTTGAGTTAATGTATTCACATTGTAGGGAAGCGGCGAGTTGATTTTGAACTAATGTTTGGGATTGGAGAGACGATGAACTTGAGATATTACTTCTAGACTCTGTAGAGAAGATGGAGTTGGGATTTAAACTAGTAAAAAAAGAAACTTGCCCTTTTAAGTAGAGAGTCTTGTTACTTGCCGTTTTACTTGTTGCAATTGAAAAAAAATCAAATTTCCGTTTATGCATTCGCCATTAAGTTGTTTTCTGTTTGTAAATCACTTTCTTAAAACAAGTTATCTGAATCTATTTGATCTTTAAATAAGAAGTTATCAATTTTCTGTTATAAGTTATAGATTTTATACTACAAGTTATATGAAAATCCTTAGACTTTGCTCTAAAATGTTCTTTTTAATATTTTGAAAGACAGTTCTAGATGAGGTTTTAGTTATTTGGATTAGATTACAATTAATATATATTTTGTTTTAGTTATACATCATTCATTTGCTATCTCTTTCATGTACTACTCAATTGTTCAGGAATTCGAGCAATGCTATGAAAATATCAAAATAGTATGCATTTTCAGATAGCACTATAATGTGAGCACAATCTGAGGTTCTCACCAGTTTTTAAGTAGTTCTTACTGTCTAGGTATCTAAGTCGAGGATCTTGTTGCTTGTCACTCTACTTGCTGCAATTGAAAAGCTGAATTTTCTATCTATGCAGTGAATTGTGTTTGGTCCATTAATCACACTCTCAAAACAAGTTATCTAAGTCCATTTGACCTTCTTTTCCTACAATTCGGGTCTGGAACAAGTTTCATGTACATAGTGATATGGATTCTTACAATCTGGAGCTATTTTTATTTCTGAACAAGTCCATATTGTTCACGGATTCTACAATCTAGATTAGATTTAAACTAATAACATCTTGTAATCTTAGTTATGCTTCGTACGTTGTTACATATTTAATGTATTACTCAATTAACCAGTAGTTTGAGCAAAGCTATGAAGATATGATGCATTTTTGGATACCACAATAATGCATTTTCTGTGAGTTACATGAGCCAATTTCACCTTTAAATTACAAGTGATCCTTTTTTTGTTATAAGTTATACATTTTATGCTAAAAGTTATATGAGATTTCCAATATTCTGCTCTTACATGTTTTTATCACATGAAAATGAGGAGTTGGGATTAGATAAATCAAAGAAAAGTAGAATGAGATAGTAGTTTATGTTAGTATGTGGCCTTTCTATTCTAAAAAGTTATTGCTATATCAAGGGAGTATCCACTGACTTATTTTTAATTCTAATATATTTTGGTTTTTTTGCTACATCAAATTTATCTTGATTATTTGGTCTATAAGTGGCTCTAAGTTGCTGATATTGATGCCTTAATTTTAACTTACCTTTCATACAATATTCATATCAACGCTATTAGCTCAATTGGTAGAGCAATGTGCATATTTGCATGAAGGTGCGGGTTCGAGTCCCGCATAGCCTAACTTTGCAGATTATTACATGTTCAATCAATGGTCATGACTTAATATTACCTACGGACATCGGTTTTTAGTTTTTATTACATTTTTCTCTTTTGGAAACACACTCATTTTCTTGTTGGGTTGAGAACCCAGGTGATGTTCTCACCACGAATGCAGCGAGATGCACATGAATATTAGAGTCCATGATTAGCTCAAAAGAAAGGTCAAATTAATCCATTAGCTATACTGAATGAGAGTCAAATCTCTCAACTAGTAACTGGACAAATGAAGCTTCTGGAAAAAAATCAAAGCAATAAACGCAATGATTAGGAATAAAAGGATGAAGTTTAATTTGGTTAAAATAGGCTATTAAATAAAAGGTAGGATACATTTTTTTTTGTTTAAGGTGGCAGTACTATTTAAGCATAACTAACACGCAATTGAATACTTTAAAAGAATATTTACTTACTAGAAATGTTATCAGCAAGTAAAATTGGCTTACATTCCTGAGTATCCAAGTTACTAGAAAGTGGGCAAATATGAAAATATTACAAAAAGACTGGTTGCTCATATTTATATCCTATTTCAGAACTTTCTGGAAAATAATTTTGATGACCCTCGTACACAGGATTAGCCATGGAATGATAGCATTTTACCAAAAGGTTGTACCAACTGCTTAGATACAGAAGCCACAGCAGGCATACGCCAAAACCAAATAAGGAGCATAGAGTATGTGAAGATCTTTAAAACTAACAGGAACTTTGTGTACATATCGTAGGACTTTTTATCTCCTCTCTATGGATCCTTTTATTTTTTGCAAGTTCCTTCTCCATAGTTGCAACCGTCCTTTTCAGTTTTGCAGTTTGGACAAAAGTTGATGGCTGCGATAAAGCATTGGCCTCCTGCATGAGCTGCATAATTTCTGCTTTCAGCTTCGCATATTTATCAGATATGGATGCTTTCGTCTTTTGCAGCTCGACGTATTGGGATAGAAATTGAAAACCCCCAACAATGAAAAATTTTAATGGAGCGGCTATAGATTTTGCATCTTTTACCAGAGCCTCATCCATTCTGCGTTTGATTCTGGCGTTCAAGTTGGCCCACGTAGGATACATCTTTTTCAACTAAGATCAAATTGCATTATACCCAACTTAAACATAGCCCAACTATAACTAAGACATACGCATAATCTATTAGATTCTACATTTATAATAAACGAGCATCTACATAAAATTAAAGTTGGAAAAAAATTAAATCATCAATCCACTTGTTGAGATAGCCTATGTGAGATACGAACTCACATCTTTCGTGCAGTCACACGATGCTCTTCCAATTGAGCTAATAGGATGTAAAACAAATATGCAGATTTCCATCTCAAAAAGTAATGACATTAAGTTTAAAAGTTGACCATTTTGACCTACTGGTCATTTTAGTTATCATATTTCTAAAGTTGTTAATTTAGATATGTAACATGCCATTTTTAAAACAACTAAATGTTGCTTATCTTGCACGTATTAAGCATATTTTACCTTAAGCTCAACAATGTTTATATTGAAGAACATGTTTCAGGGATAGAAACAATCATATTTGGTCATGATTTGTGGAACTTACAGAGTAGAAAAACGAATAGAGCAAGACTTTTCATATATTCAATAACTTATACTAATCAGACATGCAAGATTCATACCAAAGATACTTAAATAAGAAACATTCAGCTTAGACTAAAAGCTTCCAGACTAGTAAACTTACTATCACAATATTTTAAATAAATTGATTGACATATTATACATTCATTATTAACAAGTTGCCACATTCAACTCAGCATAAAATAAAATAAAAATTATAATCAACACAAAAGTGCAAAACCATTCATGGTAGAACAATCTTTCTAGTCCACAAATTCTCTTTTGTATTCCTTGGAGCAATGATGTGTGTTGTAAAGAACTTGTATTTTTTGTTCTAACATTCCATTTTCATTTTAATTAGCCGGCTCATACATGCTTTCGTCATATGCAAAGATAAAAAGTAAATCATAATTTATCAATACACTAATAGAGTCAAAATTAAAACTTTTAAAGCTAAATATCTGTTAGGCCCTAGATGTTGATTAAACAGTTTTGATGATGCCAAAGCTTTTCAAATGTTCCCCCCTTCTTTTGTAGCATTAGGAAATCAAACGTGTTGTATTTTGTTTCAACCAAATGTGACCAAAAAGAAAAGTCAAAATGTTTGTGTCAAATAAATTATACCGAAAAGTCAAAATGCAATAAGGTAATTTTTACCTTAAAAAGGAAATTTAAATTCCACCGGTATATATTTAATTTGACACAAACATTTTCAAACAGCAAAAGACACATTAATATAATATTACGCGTGTCAAAGTGAGAACAAATAAATGTAAAATTTCTAAGATTAATAATATTATTACTGGACAGTAAAAATGCAATAAGGTAAATTTATTTACCTTTAATAGGATATTTAAATCCTACCAGTATAATTTTATTAGACTCAGAAATTGTTGTGTTCGAAAAGATTTACCATAGCGGGTAAAACAGAGCCAATAATTTTCCCAGCATGGAGAACCGAGACGTACAGCATGGGCGCTCAGTCTGAAGCCTAAAAAGAAATCTACAGTGGCTAGGCGGGCAAGACAAGAAGAACCCATACGCTCCGAAGAAGAAAATAAACAACAAGTTGTTTATCTTCTGTAAACAAATTCAACGCACAAGATTGATCTATCCTAACCAATGGATAAGATCAATTAACCAGAGAGCCTATAAATATAGGCAGAAACGAAAGTTTCTAACCAAGCCTGAGCATCCTAAGTAGAGAGATATTTCTTTGAGCAAAAAGTGTTGTTCTATTCACGACTCTCTGCTTAGACTCTTGCTTCACTAAACTTCTTAGTATCAAGTGTTCATTGTCAAAATCTTAGAAGTTTAGTTCCTAGTCGGAGGTTAGAACTTTCTTGTAAACCAATCAGATTTTTGTTGTAAACACTTCAGGAGGACAGTTGTTCCCGGCCTGAGTGTGGTTAGATAGGTCAGGAGTACCTTTTGATCCCCACTGGATCAATCGAGAAAAACCTAAAGGATTGAGTAGCTTGGAGTGGTGTTGTACTTCTCGTGAAACACCTTCAATCTAGACCAGAGTTGTCAAGGCTAGATTGGCACTAAGTGTATTGGGCTTAATACATTAGTGAAATCCATTTGAAATAGGATGGGACTGGATGTAGGAGGATTACACCACCTCTGAACCAGGATATATTGTGTGTTGATTCATTTTCAGTCAACAAAGCACACACTGAACACTTCTCACATAAAGATTGTAGTTTGCCAGCAGCATCCTAAGCAGTTGTTTTAATTGACCCAACTGCTTATCCTACTGATTAGTTACTCACTCTCTTTGAGATACAAGAGCTTCACAATATCACAACAAAAAGGTCTGTTTCATTAAGATTTCAGGAAATACCACTTAAGGCATGGCAGTTGCCTCAACAGTCTCCTAAAGACTACTCAACTGTTGAGCCCACTCCTCACACAAAAGTATTTCCTGTGAACATCTTGAAATTACTAGACCTTTACATCTTTATCTCTAAGAAGTCTGTTCAAAATAATCTCTGTGATTCAAGGTGATAACCCAGCAGGTACCTCAACAGTTCCCTCACTATCACCCAACTGCCTAGACCACTGCCTAAGTAAAACCCTCTACTTACTTGGTCCAAAGCACGTCTTCAGAAAGCCCACATCATACTGAGCAACACCACATAATCAAACCTTCCATACCTTCACCTTTACTTCAGCAGGTGCCTCAGCAGTTCCCTGGTTTCCACCCAACTGCTGAGACAACTGCTCTCATTTAAGGTTGATTATCAATCCACCTTAGTACATCATCAGGAAGCTCTTCCCACTCTAAGAAAGATTCTGAGTGCACCTTCATCATACTCCAAATATTTCGTAAGCAGTTGACTAAGCAATTCCTGTTGAGCCGCGGGTATGCGGTGCCAGCAACAGCCAGCCTGCCGGTGCAATCGGACCGCGTGGCGCTTCGCTTGTGCTATAAAGGGGGAGGAGCGTGCTTCACTATAGGCGATTGCTGTTAGTGTAGCGGTAAGCGCAACGATCCACAAGTGGTATCAGAGCCAAGGTCACGGGTTCGACCCCCGGCAACAGCATGATGCGCAGTTGTAGGCTGGCAGATGCTGGGGGGAGATTGTTGGGCCGCGGGTATGCGGTGCCAGCAACAGCCAGCCTGCTGGTGCAATCGGACCGCGTGGCGCTTCACTTGTGCTATAAAGGGGGAGGAGCGTGCTTCACTATCAGCGATTGCTTTTAGTGTAGCGGTAAGCGCAACGATCCACAGTTCCCTGCTTTCTAGCCAACTGCCTAGCCAACTGCTCACCATTAAGCAAAGACTTCATCCATCATAGAAAGTTGTTACACATTACATAAAGGGTAAAGACTTCCGCTGTGCATCTATATTCTCTCAAATAATTATAGATCAACTCTTTTAGAGGGAAAACTTTCACAAGTCGAAAAAGATTTAAAAGTCTATTCACCCCCCCCCCCTAGACTTTTACCCTATCCGGGACCATCAAGTGGTATCAGAGCGGAGTGTTCCTAGAGTCATTTATTGACTAATTTGAACTAAAGATCCAAAACCACTATACTTCCCAAAACAACTTTCTAACAATGGACAGACGTTTGGCAAAGAATCTTTTGTCCAACCAAAGCAAGTGTGATGACTGGAGAACCAATGATGTCTGGGATGAGCTTTCAATGATACAATCTACTGATGATCAAAAAGGCTCAAGTGATGAAAACAGTTCATCAGGGAGTAAGGAGGAGACTCTGATTTGTCTCTATGGAATGCATCATCCTGAAAACTCCTCCAACAACTGCTCCTTGATAAGAACAACAAGTATTGACAATGATGAGGTATTATCCTGTTCTTCAAATAGCTCAAATGATTCTAGTTGTTCCAGTGTAGACATGGAGGCATTACTCCATCAATTTGAAAACTTTCAAAAGGATCACCTTCTTTTAATGAACGAAAAGTGTAGACTTCAAGAAAATCTAATAGTAGCCCAAGCTCAAATGGGTGAAGTGATAAAGATGAAAGATTTTCTTGAACTCGAAAACATCGTTTTAAAAGAAAGGTTGAGCTCCCTCACTACTCCTATTGGTGAGGAAATTCAAAACAGGAAGAACACAGGATCAGGAGACACACCATTAGCCCAACCATTGAAATACTCTCCCAAATACTCTCCTATCACAAAACCCACCACAGATCTACAAGAAACAAGAAGACCAAACCAACAAAATTACCACTTCCAAACTCTGTCAAATAAAAGGAACCAGTTCTCTCCCAGATCCAAAGCCAAACTTCCTTACAAACCCAACTTCCTGAATAACCAGTCAAATCAAAGACTTGGTTGGCAACCAACCAAGAGGACCAACTATATTCCACAGAAAAAGCTGATCACTCCTAACATACATATTTCTTCCCTTTTCATAAGGAATAATGTTCATCATCTTATAGCCAATCCTCAGGATGACTATAGATCCATCAGCTTAAATCCAAACGGTTCTAAATTGGTCTGGTTGCCTAAACGCATTCAAGGGAACATGCCCACCAACTTGTGGGCAACTACTCAAAACTGACAAATACAGGAAGGTGCTGGAGCAGCCAACTCACAAAAATAAATATTCAAGCTGCTCCATGCACATGACAGGCAGCAGGTGGCTACTGTCAATACTAGATCTGGAAAAGGACCCAAAACAACCTTTGGGAGTGAGAAAGAAAGAGGAGAATCTAAAGGAGCTGGAAGATCCAAATCAAATGCGAACTTTCAATCCAACCTAGGATTGAAGTTCAAATTCAAGAAGCACAAGCCAGCTCCAAAATAATGTTCACAATATGACATTCTCCATGGACATCTGCTTAGATGCCCAAAACGAAATTGTGCTAACTGGTAGAAGAAAGAAGGATACTGGAAAGGCTCCAAGCTGCCTTCCCAGCAAAAATCAACAAAAAGACTGGAGGATGGAAGCAGCAGTTGATTCAAATGGCAGCATACTGCCAGCAGTGAACTCAAATGGAAGACCACTGCTAGCAGGTGACTCAAATGAAAGATCACTGCCAGCAGTTGACTCAAAATATATG